CGTGTTTGAGAGTTTGGTTTCATGATGTTACGTTAGTACTTCAGGTCCGGAGATGAGATCGAGGCCGTATACTATGCATGCAACCACAACTATCCAATTGATTTCATTTGCAGCTTATGGATCGCATGATACACAGAGTCTTTGCAACCAAAGTGGTCCAACGCCATCAGGTCCCAGCACCAAGTAAACAACAACGTGAAGTAGACCCATTCTCCCGTTTTCAGTAACGTCAGACAACCAGCACCACTTGAACTCCCTCTTCGCATGTTAAATTATTAGCGTCGTACATCACCAGGATATCGACGCTGCTCATCGCTCACATAAGATATTGTATAGTGGCCAAAGAACAGAAGACAGATGCAGAGGAACATTGCATGCCACAAAACCAAACACTAACTCCCGTCGTAGTAATAATAGAGGAACAATAGGCAATGACTCGAATGAAGCACAGCTCCATTCTCAGATACCTCAAGTGCAAGTATCTCAAAAAAAAACAATGAGTCAATTATCTTTCTTCTGACTCGTTGGTTCTCCTCCTCTTTCCTTTTGGCGGAGGATCGAGAGGCGGCGCACGCTTAAAGGTTACCGTACGCGTAACGATGTGCTGTATGCTGACGGATCCTTCCCGTGCGCTTCTTGGAGATTCAGTGTATCTAAGTCGTAACTCTGATGGAGAAAGGGGAGATCGAACCGAATACGGACTGTACGGAGAAGCCTTTGCTGGTGAATAAGGAGGAGGGATGCCTAGATGTCGTAGAGGAGCAAGGCTTCTCGCAGACTGAGGAGCAGACGCTGGCGATAGAGAAGGGATTGACCTAGGAGTTGACGTTGTTGATGTCCCGATTGAGGAAGAGCCAGTAGAGGCACTTGACGGGACAGATATAGGTGTAGGCCGACGTCTGACGTACGTGCATCTTGGAAAGCAAGCTCCAGCACCTTCTGCATCCGCAAAGACAGGACTCAATGCTCTCAGGAACTCTGTATAAGCTCGTGGAGGTGGAACCGATGGTCCATTGCTTTCTTCCCGTCTGTTCGAAACGGGCTTTTCCCGAAGCTCTGACGGAAAGGTCATATTCTTTGTAGTCTTGATGGGTGGGATGGATGCTTTCGATGAAGTCATGGTACTGTGGAAAGTGCTGACGAGTCCAGATGCTTGGGTGCTCGCAAGGCACTGAGTTGAGCAATTGCCTCAAGGAGCGAATGTATCCCAGACAATATCGGCAGGACGTGAGAGGAAGAGAGCTTTCACTCAATATATGACAACTTAAAAGGGGACCACAGAGCCTAGTAGAGACAGAAGAAAAGAACCAACACCAATTTTAGAATAATAATAGCACAATCTGAGTTATGATGAAGTTTTGGAGGTGCAGGGTTGAATATATCCGAGATCTCAGGCGTGAGGACTATGGCGGAGCAGTTGGTTTCAGTAAGTGACGGTAAAACACAAGTATTGTTGTTTTGAACAGTATCGAGACGTACAGGTATCTGTCAGTTCCTAAGTGTCGGTTCTAATCTCAGATGGGTTAGTGTATGCAAGCTATCCTCATGCGCCGCCCTTTCGTCCAAAATAGTAACAAATACCAGCAATTTACTTCTGCCACTTCCTTAGACCCTGGCCAAGAAGTGTAAAAAAAGAACCTTGACTTTTTCGTCGCTTTCTAAAATCAGAATACTGAAAAACAGATGGTTTTGCTTCTATCTTTGACGTGGTGCAGACGTCGCGTCGTCAAGGGCTGCTGACTCTCTCCAGGCGGTCGTGCTTTCTGTTTGGAAGAAGTTAAGAGATCATGGTACTCAACAGTCAACTCAGGATGTCTCAATCCCAGCCAGAAGCAGAACAGAAAGTAATGCAACGGAAGCCACAACTCCTGGTTGCTTTGGGCGACTATCTTATACACTGCAGACATCTTCTTCAACGGAGGGGCTGTTGTGGCAGACTGGAGCTGGCGATGACTTTCTTTTTTTGTCGCGCGCCATTTGAACTGCTATATTTCAAACGCTTGCACTTACCTGTCGAATCCTCCTTCTTCTCCTCCTGTGCTCAGGTTCAGAGCATGCCCGCGATTCGCTGAAGCACAGTGCTCTTCCTCATAAGGCGCGCGGCTCCTTCAATCCGGAGGCGCTTCCTGCCATCTTGTTGTCGCCCGAGCCGGATATGGACATTGTTGGCTGTGATCCTTCATAGGCTTGCTCACCATCGGACACGATTCAATTCCGAGGAGACCAAGTATAGCTCGCTTGGAAATGAGACGCCGACCTGGTCAAAACACATCGCTGCCGCCCAGTCATAGCTCCCAAGTTCCATTTCTTCATAACGCGACTTCGTTTCTTCCCTGGCATATCTGATACGCAGAATCAACTAGAGGCAATGGACTCATACATACTGTGTCACTTGACTCTTTGCACGGGCGCTAGAGGGTACAAAGGGACTGAAGTGACTGGTTACCACTGGTTCTATTCTGAGAATGATTCACTACGAATGCCTCATTGATTTCTTCTCAAAGCAGTAAGAGATAGGCCTGGTTCCTCCTTGTCTTTGAGGTGTCCTTCAAAGCTTCATGGTACGTGTTTGCTGGTCTCTTCTGTTCCTCATCCACAAGATCGTCCACGTCTTATCAAATGTCTCGGTTTTTCTTCCTTCTGTCCCCGGGCCTTCTTATCTTCTATCTCTCTTCGTTGCTTTTGTTCTTACCACTCATAGTGTGGGCTTCCGCGGAGAGTGACTCAACAAAATCATGACATATCGCTGAACCCAAATCCTGCGAATGTCTTTTCAAGCGCTTCGAAACAGTCCTTTCGCTGAACCCTTCTTATGACTTCCGATGCCCCTGTATGTCGCATCACTCCACCACAACGAAGGCTATCTGGAAATGTTCGATATAGTAGGAACGGTTCAGGAGCTGATACAGAAGCCCTAGTGGTTTCAAGTTATCTTCACTGTGCATAGCGGTTTCCATCCATTTCTTTCTCTCGTATGGAATGATGGATGACATCATAGGTCTCTGCCAGTCTTCCTGTAAGAGCTTTATCTGTTTGGAGGTGCTCAAGACCATTTGGCTCCCCGGGTTGTCTAGAAGTCACCTTCAGCTGAAGTTCCTGACACCTTTCTGTCCAATGTGCACACAGCTAACCGAGTGCATGTTCATAGGTGACAGTGTTGAGGTCTTGATCTTGATCCTCCGAAGAATTTCGAATGTGTATTGTGAGCGGGTGGATGTGCCCGACGAAGTCACAACAGTAACCTCCATTTCACAATATGGTTTTACTGCATTAGATTTTCGCTGCACGTTTGGTTGGCGCAAAATTGCAAGCACATGGTTGCTGCTTGAAGACTCTTTTGCCCTTCAGGGTTCAAGGCCACATGTCTCTTCGGCCAATAGTGGAAGCTTGATATCGCGTCCGCAGCAGTACAGCATGAATATATCAGTCTGGTTCCAGTGGGATAATGCTACCGAGTGGCAGCGTTCCATATCTGTGTTGCGTCATTCTGTAGCGAAGACCAGAGGCTGCATGCTGCGAAATAGGTCAGTAGATGCCACTTTTCGAAATTCTAGATTGTTAAACTTATGCAGCCATCAGCTAATGTCGAGTTCAGAAATTTACCAAGCTGGCTTGTTGAACCTCGAACTGTTCTCACGGCTATCAGACTTGCACCAAACGGCTAAGCGGATTCCCGTTGATGCCATGCAAGCGGCCCCTGGCGTGAACAAAGCAAGCCTCCTAAAAGCAAAGTCAGCAGGCTCATATCATATACCTGAAATGCTGTTGTAAAAAGCTTGATTGACGTCCAGTTTGCCTTCGATGGTGGAAGAAATCGGCAATGAGCTTGAAAATGTCGCCGCGCGAGTGCTCATGCTGCCTCAAAACAACAATTAGCTTGCTCAGCTAATTCAAAATTGACGCGCAGAATAGTTACCAATATTTCAGGGAGTCACTGGCCCCTGGTCGATTTCCATCAGAGTGAATGGCCATGCGCAATGTTACGCCTACACAAAGATGAGAGTCCGAATGCTTGGAAACCATGTTTCTGAGACCTGTCTACGTCATTCTAAGGATCGACTGAAAAAAAGTCGCGAATGATTTCCACGAATATAATATCGTTTCAGTTGGCGCCTTGAGAACATGATCCGTGCTGTTTTAGCAACGACCATCAATTCATATGTTGAGCGGCATAAGAGTAGCTTCCATTCTCATGAACCGGAACATGTTTCGAACGAATGCGAAGATGCCAAAAGAAGCGGAGAGAACGAAAGAGATATCTCAATATCCTGCCTTTGATACTTGGCGGACCCTTCCTTGACTGAGACTCACGTCTCTCTGGGAAGTCTTGATGTTTCTTGATGTTTATACTACACCCGTACTTTGTGCTCTATACAAGTGAGTCCCTGCTAATTAGCTCCAGTTTAGAAAATTTTTGGCGATGCGATTACGCTGCTTACCTCTCACGCTGAAACGCGAGGCCATCCCGTGGACTCAATTATCCTTGAAAGCCTTCAGTCATATCAGCTCTCACCACCCAAAGGGTGCATGTTGGGCTTGATTTCTAAGAAAGCCCAAGCAGAAAGGTCGATGCGGGTGATCATGTCGCCACTCGAATACGTACAGGCAGGACATGGGGAAATTCGCTAGTTTCCGTACTGGCAACACGTGCTTTTTTTTCTGGCACATTGTCGTTGAGGAATTCAAGCATTTGATTATTCCCAAGACCTTGATGTGATTTCTTCTTAACTATACTGCCTACTTCACTGACTGCTGCAGAAATAGTGGACAACACCGTCAACTGGTTGGTTCGCAAAGAATAGCAGCAGAGCACCACCATAACCAACAGCAACAATCTCAACAATAGGCCAACAGAAGCACCCGAACCAAAGTCCCGAAACGCCTAGCCACCAAGAGCGCCGAATAGCATCTGTTGGATTTGTGCCAACGCTGTGCAGATTGGGTACGTCAAACCCGAAAATATGACAGATTTTCCCCGCTTGTTGGACAGTGACGTGGGCCTATATCAGCAGGTAGTGCCATCCTTTGCGATTCATGACGTCTCGCCAGTGAACTTTCTGTTTTTTGATTGATCTTCCAAAGTTCTCAATGCAAGGTGAAGGCGCAGGCGACCATTCATACTTTTGGTCCGGAGAAGTTAGGAGAATGTTTGATTCGGCGAAAGTTGGCGCGACAGGATCATCAGCGATTCTCCAGACCTCCTGCAGCAAGCGATACATCCTGCCAAAGTTGCCAAAATCGCCTAACTCAACTAGAGCTTCTGCTCTTTGAGCGAGGGTGTTACGGAATGAGCTAGATGGGGTGGAAAATGCCCCCGTAATCAGCAATGGCCAAACCAGAGAGCGGTCAAACCCATAGGGGCCCGTGGGGATAAACCGGAGCACTTCTGCGACGGCAGTGACCAAGCTGATAGTGCTGATATGGCTGCGATCGAATTCTGGCAACAAGCTGTAGAGATAGATCCGAGCCGCTAGCCGAAACACGGCACTCATGTTCTTGGTAAGTTTCTCAGAATCAATGACCCCCGAAGACGAGTAGGGGTTCTCCAGCGTTGTGTCCGCCGGTTCAGTATAGTCGAGCTGCGCACCGAGGGCGGAGACGTGATGACGCAAAGCCATATCGTCAACAAGGCCGTCTACTCTCAACGAATCCAGGCAAGCAATTTCTGAGATGAGATACATGATGCGGTCATCACATCCCATCAGCTCCCGGAGCCCGGAAGATATCCCACTTAGGTGTTTTGTACGATAGGTGTGGGAAAACTGAGGGGTGGTCTGCAGCATCGTAGCGCCCAAGATGTCAATCCATGACGCGAGCGACATGCTGAATGGAGGTTGAGTGAAAGGGCCAGTGTCCGCAAGATCGAGCTTGTTGATGAGGTTTGCACCTGCTTGAAAATGCTCATTCCAAGGAATATCGGGGAGGTAGTCATCCGGGGCACCCACAGAGCCGTGGAAAAAGATCATCGCCAGCGTCGCGTCCAAGATTTGCTCATGTCCGTTGTCACTGTTGAGCGCTCTACAGAGTTGAGACACTGCTTCGTACCGATGTCGCATGATGTCGTGGTCAATCTTATCTGCCCTCAGCCTTCTGCTGGCTTTGAGATGAATCGCGGCAACGCTCAGGCAGCAATGGTAATAGGACATGTTCGTCTCCAACGAGTGGAGAATTGCCCGTGAACGTGCAGGGCCTTCTTGGTGAAGATCGAGGACTGGAAATATCAATCGCAGAACATTGTCGACAAAGTGCACGAGTAATTTTCGGTCACTTTCGCTGACTTTATTCAAAGTTCGGAGGTAAGACGACAACGGTATTTTCTTGTACTCAACCACTGGTGGCAGGGAATTGTGGTAGACGTAGTGCTGGGGTTGCTGAAAGCTTTCTTGGGGCCATTCATAGTTGGTTGAATTGAACAGGGGCATATGAGGCTGCTGTGTCCCCCAATGTCCCTGTAGGGGTATACCATTCAGGATGGTCTTTTGCTCGGTCTCATAGTCAAATTCATATGGATTGTAAGCATCAGCCCCTGACATCAGATTGGGAGTGGACAGTTGACTAGTATGCGGGTTGTACAAGTGATGTGGATCAACAAGCACAGGTTGACTGAAATCATATCCCACAGTGACTCGTGGCGGTAGATGACGATCGATGAAATCTGGAGTGAGCAGGTTCAGAAAAAGTTGACCGACGCTCAACCCGACTGAGGTATGCCTACCTTGAAGGTTGTTCTCTCTTTCCAACACTTTCGTCTGCCTGATTCGAGCCTTGATTCGATCCTTCTGGATGCGCCGTTGCTCTGCGCTGGCCCACCAATCCGGCCGCTTGTACTCACAACGGACGCAAAGGTTGGTACAATTCCTGCAAGCAGGATGTGCCTCATCACATTTCTTCCTTCGTAGACGACAGGTGTAGCAGCCTGAATATTCTTCTTATCAGTAACACTACACTTCACACTGTCTCCGCAGCACTAGCAAACCAACAGGGAATGCGACAGGCTACTTCTGGAACTGACCGGAACGCGAACGTCGAAAGAATTTGCCATTCGATTTCCCCTTGGACTCGGCATCTGGAGCATCATTACTCGAGGTACTGTTTGACCGCGTGATCGCATTTGACTGTGTACGAGGCTCGCTTGCGCCAGACATTGTTGATCTGAAGTGCACTGTGTCTGAAGTGGAACCGCTTTAGGTGATCAAAGGTGGATGTCGCTCCGTCAAACGCTTATAACGTTCCTCGATGGCGTCGTGTCCTTCGATATACTGCGCAATGCGACTGCAAAGAAGCCGTTGCAAACCCTGAAGCTGTAGGAGACGAGGCGTCTGCCGATAAGCGATTGAGCGAGCTGGTGCTGAACATGATGCCTTAATATGTTCTGGAGATGAAGTCTTTATAGATTCAATATGCGATAAACTACGATGCTTAGATGCTTAGATGCTTAGATGCTTCTATTTTTTGACGATGAAGGCGGTAGCAAGAGCAGGAGCTGCATGCATGATGGCTGCGAACCGCGGGGGGCAGATCTGACGCACACGAACGAATGACAGGGCGACTAACGACTAAATTTGGGAACATTTACTTTCTTAGCGGGGAAAAAAAGGTGAGATTAGCCAACACGCGCCTGGGGTTGTTGCCAACTTGATGGTGTCAATTTAGAAATAGGGAGACCAGGGTCCCTCGCTGGGGTCTGCAGCTAGCGACTAGTGCAGCGGCTGCTAAGTCGAGGATAGAGCATGATACCTTGATATGATTTGAGACTCTGGTTGGTAAGTCTACTCAGAAGTTCTCACAGAAAGCACTATGGTGCATCTGCCCTCCATTTCTATAGCACTGCTTTGGGTCCGGGCTCGATTCCCTGTGCCACAGAGAGACCCTACACTGTTGCAATCAAGCCTCGACAACCATTCTTCTATAAAGTCCAACTAACGATAAGAGTTTCATCATACGCAGATTATCGATATATCTTTAACATCGCATATCTATGGACTATACTAGTCCTAGTTTCGAAAAAGACAAAAGAAACAAAAAAGGAGCTTATTGGCCATTGACTGTTTCATATTAGACATTTTTTTCTTTCTGGAGGACCATCCAGCGACTGTTGAAACGATGCCAGATTGTCCGGTTGTGAAAGGGCGGCGGCTGCTGCATGCCAAGCTTTATCCTTCGATCTTTTATTGGCTATTAGACCGGGCCATCAGCGGTTCAGTCGATTTAGCGCAACACTAAAGCAAGCTCAAAAATTGAGAACTGGCCAATCATACCCAGCCATAAGAGGAGGAGTGGATCTCACGAATTGTATATTATCACCTGAATTAGCAACATTTAACCGCCAGTTTGCATTGGAAATGTTCCTTAATTGCTCAAGTCGGCGGTAATATATGTAAAGCACGACTGGAATTGAGGCAAATAGACGCGGAGTGAGAGGTAGGCGACAGCTAAGTCCAAATAATGCCTACTCCATACTAATTCGTACTAATTTGGACATTCATCAATCATTGAGAGTTCCCCTAACCGCCATAATTTAGTCGACTTAATCGCTAATTCTACTATTAATAGATCTTCAATACGGTTACTTGATGGCCTCGCTTATCTAAGTTAGCTCATGACCTTTTCGCTGTCATCTTGAGTTGCCCAGCACTCAACCTCAGCGCGAATAGCTACATAATTAGCAACAATTCTGCAAGATGGTCGACGAAGTGCCCCCGTAGTCAATAGGAAATTCGTATTAAGCTCTTTCTTGTGTATTGTGTTTCAGGATAGCTGTTGTTACGGATTCTCAGTTTATCATCTGTTGACATACGATAGACGCCGGACTTGAGATCTCTTCAGCCTCAGAATCAGATCAATGCTTTCCAATTAAGCTCATGCAAGAGTGTTGTGGGTTTGACGCTCTTGTCGCGTGTTTGAGCCAGATTAGCCATGTGGATGTTGTCTGAGGACTTTCTGGTGAAGCTCCTTCGCCTGATTGTTCCGGATCACTTGCATTTTTGTACATGTTTCTGAATCCTGACAAGCAGAACATAGTGCACCTAGGGGCATTCAACGAGTCAATTCTTGAAGGCAATTACCTATTCTCTGGCTTCGTTGGTGGTCTTGTTTTATCCCACATTATGAGAACTTCTACAAAACTATGAAGGGTGTGCCACTTCACATCAGCAACTGCTACTCATAATCTTCATTAAGGGCGAGTACGTTCCTCTATGACTCCCAAACGTAGTACATCTTGATAGATTTAGACAAGGTGTGATAGAAATTGGGAAGCATTTAGTGCTACTAACACAAGGACGAAAGAGAATGTGGGATTACTAAAGGATGATGATCTTCACCTTCACAGAACATATGTTTCCTGACAACAATCAATCCATGAGGGAAGGATAAAAGTCGAGAGATCAAAGTGCAGGCAAGTGCCTGACAAGCTGTATGTTGCCGAGACTATCGAGTCGATGTAACAATATCAGTCTGAGCAGGACTCCACCCAGATCTAAATCTCTCTAACCAACCTGCCGAGGTCTTCGAGTTCCAAGTCTTGAAGGGACATCTTCTAGGGGAACTTACTGCGTCTTATATACCACCAATTTGAGGATTTGTGGACTGAAAAGTAAGGCAGTATCTATTATAGAGGGGAAGGAAAGAAAGGAAATCGGACAGTCGATCTCTGACTGAGTCAGTTCGAACTCTCCTGCATGTACATACCGCAACTTGGCACACCGACAAAATATCTTCCCGCAATCGGCATGAGGGTCTTGGAGAATTATGTACGGTGATAAGCCCTGTCCTTGTAACCTCCAGGATCAAGCATGATACATCCTCCCACGGCCATGTGACCACTCGCTTAATCTTAACGGGGAGCACCTAGGTAGACTTACCAGATAAGGAAATAAGACGCAGACTCATGGGCCAAGTTTTTTGCGTGCATGAGGTACTTGGATGCTGAGATGGATGAATTGATAGGTGGACTTTCCGTCAGACTCGTCGTCTTTGCCTGGCTTTTCTTAGTTGTTTCTAATATTCTATGGATCACTCGAATCGAGGAAATATTGTACTCAATCGCGGACGGGATGTACACGAGATTATATAGGAAGCATCGATAGTTCGAGGCTATTACTATCGTCTTCGTAAGCCCATACCCAATGCTTGATCTTCTCCGATAAATGAGGCATATAATGATTGGCATTGAAGACTCGACCATTGTAAGCTGTAACACGCTACCGAGCAAGATCGCTAGCTTCAAAGAACGTCTGGTTGAGAATCGACTGTGTGCAAAAGTCAGGTGAGGGGTACAGAGCAGGTCGTCCACAGGGACGGTCAAACTACTATTTCAAGAACAATTAATCATCGGTATCACACCCTAATCTGTCTTAATTGTCCCTCAAGTATCTATATTTAACACTCTTGAGACTGCTTCGGGTGATTTAGTGGCAGAAAATGTGATTAAGTCCGGGGATGCTGCCTTAGTGCCTTCTGTCATCAGCCATCACAGCAGTAGCGTCATCCCTCCCAGCCTGTCATCGTTTGTTCCTTCCCTTCCTCAAGTGCCTTGACCTTGAATCTCCCAACCAACCAAATCGTGCAGTCCAGGATGAGCGCTTCCTCGAACCACTGGTGCACTTTAATCTCCTACAAAGCAGCGAATGAGAGTCCACGATGCCATCTATCCCACATATTCCAGGGCTCCCCTCTTCATGCAGCTGCAAGCCCAAATCGTCACATTCCTTCTGGGAAGATATCCATTCAGACGGCCCGTTCTGTAGTCACCGATAGATTCGTTCACTCTCTTCTCGATGCCGGTGGCTTGTTCTTTTTTTGTCTCATTGCCATAAGAGGGATTTTGACTGCCGCTGGTATACTTACATATACTTGCCAACCGCCCCCTCCTGCCTGAAGTTTCACCACCTGTATCCAAACTAATTTTACCACCATTTTGGGGTCAAGGGCGCTTATTCTCTCAGCTCTGTATCCTTTCTCGGATCCATCCCCTCCCTGCCCCTACTAATACTTTGGGCCTTCCTCGTCTACCAAAGTGGCCATTCCTTCCCCTCCGCGGAACTACCAGCTGTTGAGCTGAATCGAAGACAATAGTTGGCCGGCCCAGAGAGCTCTTCGCTCTTCAGTCTTCTGATACTCAAAATGGTATGCCTTCATTGACATTTTGGAAGATATACGAGAGCATTGGCTAATTACACTCCTAGGCCACAAAAACTGCGACTCAAGCAACTCAAGCAACTCTTCAGTTGCTTCGAACTCATGATAAACTACCTTATCTACATTCCCAATCGCCATACCCTCGGTCTCTTTCAGACACAACTGAGATTCTTGACACGGATTTTGAGTCTGACTCCTACGAGGACTACTCCTTTGGTTCAGGACACAGAAGCTCCGGATCTGTAAGTATTTCACGATAAGCCAGTTGCCTGTGGTAAGATTGACTAATGCGATTGATCAATCAGCTTACCGGCAGTGTAACGACAGCCTCCACCCCAGATGATATCAAGACCCCCGACTCCACGGGTCTTACAGGCTTCCATTTCCATATCGATGAGAACCCAGTGGCTGGTCCTATAGGACCACATCTTTTCAGACTTTCAACTGATTCCTCGCCTTTGAAAGAGCAGTCTGTGGAAGTCGAGCTGATTGTGGAAGATACCCCGCTCAGCGCCACGACTCCCCTCTACAGCTCCGCCTCCAAGCTGGAACCCGAGAGACGAGACACTCCAGTCCCACTGAATCCCAAGAAGCAGACGAAAAGTGAAACGCGGACGGAGACGGTCACGTCAAACAACCGTACCTCGGAGCCTTCAAACACCAATGTCGCCAGCTGGTCGCCTCAGGATGTCGTCATGTGGATGCTCCAGCTGGGTTTCGAGGACAGCATCGTCGAAAAGTTCTTCATCAACGACATCTCTGGTGCAATCCTTCTTGATCTCCAGGCCGACGACCTCAAGGAACTTGACATCCAGTCTTTCGGAAAGCGGCACCGTCTGATGAGCTCCATCCGACAGCTCAGAAACAGTGCATCGCTCCCTGTCAATGACGTACAGGCCACATGGGATCCTTCATCCCGCGAGGGCACCTCGACACCTCAAACCACTGCCGCAGACGTTGGTACCAATTGCTGTACAAGCCCCATCACTGACGAAGAGAGACCGGG